AAATAGGTATGTCAACACCTTGTTTAAAGAAAACTTAAAAAAATAAAAATTTTTAGGTATCGGTTTCTTGTTTGAGGACACTCCTCGTGGACAACTTAACTCTACATTTCATGGTTTGGTCCATTAATACATTTAAGGCCGCATGGGAACACTTTTACACAGCTTCTTTACTCTTGAAAATTGTAGTGAATTTAGTTTTAAAAATGTTAGCAATGTTTCCGCATGACGCCATGAAGTGGCCGACGTTTCGGTTGACGCTGAAACTAAAGCGATCTATGTGGCTTTTACAACAACAACATTCTTAATGCAATTTCGTAAAATCCGCCTTAGCTGCCAAAGCAAATATGTCACACAAAAACATTTGAAGAAAACCGACTTGATCATGTCTAGATGCCTTTAGGAAAAAAGTATAACACATACTGCCATTCGCAGAATAGGTTCAACATGATTTTAAATTATAACTCTCTTCAAATGCGCATCTACTAGATGGTTCGCATGTTCTTTTCGTAAATTCAATGTTAAAGCCCCTCACTAACAAACAACGCCAAAAACAACTACATTAGCACTACCTTTAGTAATATTTTGACTTTTTTCAAAATTATTGACGAAAAATTATAACTTAACCGTTCAGCAGAATAAGTTCAGTGCAATTAACTTTTGGTTAAAGAGAAATCTAAAACGTAAATAAATGTGTTTCAGTGCGTTTTTTTATTACTAAGCAGCGTACCCATATTACTTCATTGACTAAAATTCCTCTCGAAAATGAATTTTAAAAGAATTTGAGGATACAGATACATATCGACCCCTAATTGCGATTTTATCTTAAGCGACAAATTATCGAAAAAAATTCTTTTTATTTGCTGAGCTCCAAAACGTCAGTTGCAAAGCAACTATACAAGTCATGCATTCCTCATTGCAAATGTGTAATTTTTGACGATGTGGCATGTCCCAAAATGTATCGTAAAAGTTATCGAACTAGCAAACTGCGCATCTCTAAGCTAATTAATACTTTGATGACATTTCTCAATAAACAAATACTAGTTACAACGTCCTACAAAATCACAGACTTTGCATATTGAATAAGCTGAGATAGGGCGTTCTCAACGAAATTCTGGGATAGGGCGTTTTCAGTCAAATTCTGAAGTAGGGCGTTCTTGAAAAATTTTCTGTGATAGGGCGTTTTTGAACTGGCTACCGATATAGATCGATCTTCCACTCAGCCATCGACATGTACTTACCAGGGATGTTTCGAATGTCATATTTTTCACATTCGCGAGTGCGAATNAATAAACAAATACTAGTTACAACGTCCTACAAAATCACAGACTTTGCATATTGAATAAGCTGAGATAGGGCGTTCTCAACGAAATTCTGGGATAGGGCGTTTTCAGTCAAATTCTGAAGTAGGGCGTTCTTGAAAAATTTTCTGTGATAGGGCGTTTTTGAACTGGCTACCGATATAGATCGATCTTCCACTCAGCCATCGACATGTACTTACCAGGGATGTTTCGAATGTCATATTTTTCACATTCGCGAGTGCGAATGCGAATGCGAATATTAGGAATAACATTAAAAAAGCTATAATCAACTTAAGTCATCGTTTTTATTAATTAAAAATTTTGTAAATTATGTACAAGAACATTGAACGCATGCTTAACCTGCATGTACAGTGTTTTAATCTAGTAGTCAAAGTTCATATAATATTAAAAAAAGTAATTTTCTGCCTTTTCGCCCATGAGGTGATTTCTTATAGGCTCGTATATAAGGCCGGCTGCACTGAACAATTGCTCACTTGGAACGCTGGCGGGTGGACGGCTCAAATATATGCGGGCCAGATCTGTCAATTTATCGTATTTTAGTTTAGTTTTCCACCATTCGATAAGATTTTCACAGAGATGAGCTCAGTTTTCTTTAAGACAGGCCTTCAATTGAGCTTTAATTTCACATTTTTTAATGTCTCCGGATTATACACCCGAGGCCTCGACTTTTAGCAGTACTTGTTGAAGGCCCATCAATGTTGCTTGATATACTATTTAACCGTTTAGTGCCTGAAGCTAAACGCCGGCTATTGTTCGCACCCTGGTTAAACAGACTTTGAGCGATTTCAACAATATTATAGTGAAATCTCTGCCCATGTACACATTCGCATTCGCAAAACATTCATATCATTTGATGCGAATGCGAATGTCGAATGCGAATGTGTAAAATGATGAGAATCATTCGCATAACGAATGCGGGTGCAAATATTCGCAACATGCCTGGTACTTACTTTTCATATTTTACCGCCATTATGCTTGCTCGTTTTGTTTTACATCCAAGTTAATATGGATGTGCTCGCTACTTTTCTCCGCGCATCGGTAAAAAAATAATGTATTTGAAAGCCGAATACATTGTATAATTTTACGTTCTCAATTTAAAACGCTAAAAACAACTAATAATAGCCTAATGTTATTCTTTTGGGTTATGTTATGAATTGAACGGGCTTTAACGGCGAATTTACTAAAACATCTTCCGGATATTCTAGTAGATGCACCAGACCCAGAAGTTGCAGCGAATCATGCCATATAAGAGTGGCGGATTTACGGGGGCGAGGGGTTTCCGACTCCCTCCCCGCTAGAGACGGCGGTATTATTTTTTTGTGATATTACTTTTCAAAATACCCAACGTACGCATTGTATATACAAATATACCTAATCAAACCACAAGCACATACAGGATTTAGAAACAAATATTTTCATAAGCTATTTCTCTACAATCTTCCAGGTTTCATTTTAGAAACTCTTTCATTGTTTAATTTACAGAAAGTTGTATATCAAATGAAGTCGCAACGATGCAAGTCCATTCAAACGTTCTAGCCAAGTATGATGTGATCCGTTTGAGTGTTGAAAATGGACTTTCTTGCTTTGCTGTCGAAACTGGTAAAACAGCCAAAATACTCAATATCGGTCACGTATTCGAAAGCATTTTAATTGACCATTAAAAGATAAAATCAGATAAATATGAAATATCTTACAAATACTTGTATATTGCAATTGAATATCGAAATTACGCTTTCGTCAAGTGCAGCAAACAAGTTTTTGAAAATTTTACCATTCGCTCGTCTTCTCCACATTTTGACGTCCAATGCAAACTTATTTTTTGGAATAAATAGTTCATAAAGTTTCTTGCACTTATCGAAGTTGGACTCATTTACATATACATATAAAAAATTCAGAGACTCGAATGAGGGCACTTATTACAAAAAAAAAAAAAACTTAAGTAGCGCTATTCCTTATTGTAATATCAGAATATTTATTCATTCTTAATCAAATGAGGAACCGGCATAAGGCGCACTTGATTTTCGGGATTTATCACTAGTGTTGAACTTATTCGGCTGAGCAGCAGTGTACATACATACATACATAAGTACATACATATTCCTTTCCAGGGAGGTCAATTTATTTTGACTTTAGTCGATTTTTACGGCGCTTCAATGATTGCATTAATACTGGGCATATTGGAGCTCTATGTTCTGGGTTGGATTTATGGAGTGGATCGACTTTGTAAGGATATAGAATTTATGATTGGCCACAAAGTGAGTCGATACTGGCGTTTTTGTTGGGCGTTCATCACACCCGGAATAATGACGTTGATTCTGATTTACTTCTTCGCTACATACCAATCACTCACCTACAACAATGTTGAATATCCGAATTGGGCTTATGGTAAGCGAATTTACTTATGGTCTGATTATGGCAACTTAACATAACTTACGGCTCTCACTTAAAAATTCTGTTAAATGGATGTTGCTTAAAATTGAACAGCCGAAACTTAACATAACTTAAGGCCACGTCGAAATCTGCTTCATTTTGATTCTCTAAGTTTTACGTTCCGTTAAGTTAAGTTAAGTTGCCCTAATCAGGCTTTAAAGTGCACTTTAATCTAAAACAAAATATTTCATAAATTTATTTCCTTAGCGCTTGGCTGGACAATTACTGCCCTGGGTGTAATACAAGTTCCATTATGGGCCATAGTGGCGATCGTGCGCCAACCTGGCGAAAGTGTAAATGAGAAAGTTCGTGGTGCCTTCCGACCTGTACGTAATTGGGGCCCGTCGGATCCCCTGCTTCGTGAACAATACAATAAGAATCTCGCGAATGAGAGTAATTCGATGGGCACGGGTTGCTGGGCCAGGGTCAAGAAGAATTTTCTCAGTTGAACAGATATGTGATTCATTAGGCAGAAAATACTGTTTAATGCTTGCCAAAATTGATATACATTTGTATTATAGATTAAGCAGAAACGAGTACACTTATTGTATAAATATAATACTAAACTATGTGCATATGCATGTACTTGAATCTATGGAAAATCGCCAGTATAAGCTTTAAATAAACATGTTGCACAAGTAGTTACGTTTACTATTGTACGAGTATTTTATTGAGGATATACTACAATATTTATTTACAATATTTATTAAATGCAAGGCACAACCTATTTAATAAACTTCTTCGTATTCGTGTAATGGGAAATAGGTTCATTCATTCAAGAGTATGTACTCCTATATATACTATGCACATATACATATTTATGTAGTTTATCAAAAGGGTGTTTTCCCATAGCAAGATATTCTGATTTTTCCTATTTATTTAACGAACACCAACGATTTTCATATCATTAACTTATGTACTTGCTTCGGTGGAAATTCAGTGATTACTGTTATAACAACATGGTAAATACATAAGTTAATAATATACATAGCTTTGAACGGCTTTCTAATCTGAATATTTTACTAAGTGAAAACACTTTCTTGGCAAAGTGTATGTATTGTATACAGATTGCAGTTTAGCTATTAAAGCTATTGAACATATTTCCCGGCTTCGGCATCGAGGATAACAATCAATTCACCATTCTTTGGCAAAACTCTGCCAGCTGGTAGGTCCTCTTTGTCCACGAAAACTCGCTACGGTAAGAAAAGTATGTATGTACATCGTTCAAAATAATTTTAATACATGTAGTTTAATCTGCAATCTATACTCACTTTAACCATTTCTGCTTTCCCTGAGCCACACATTGCAAAAATACAGCACTTGGCATTGTTGATAAGTGGAAAGGTCATGGTAACCCGCTGCGGCGGCGGCTTAGGTGAATCTGCGATAGGTGCGATTAGAAGTGTCTTCTCTTTAAGCAATGCATGATTTGGAAATAGAGAGCAGGTGTGTCCATCAGGTCCCATACCCAGGAGCAATAAATCGAATTCAGGAATGCCATCAGTGCTTCGCCCAAACTCTTTCCTTAGCTTGCGCTCATATTCAGCGGCACACTCATCTAGTGGTAAACCAATGTTAATGGGTACAAATTGTTGTAATTGTAAATTGGTTTGCGGCACCAGTTTGGATTTGTAAGCACCGTACGTAGATTCCGGATCGGTTTCGTCAACGTATCGTTCATCACAGAAGAAGAATTTCCATTTGCTCAGGTCTGAATTGGTGTGTGGAACAGCCTTACATAAGAAGTTAAGTACGGAGCCACCTTTATAATGAACAACATGTAATTATTTCCTTTTCATCTTAAGATTAAATACATATCGTCACCTGAAATGCAAAGAGACGCAACAACATCGCAAATTAAATGGAAAAAGTCGTGACTAATATTTGAATTTTTTTTCATAAAATGATGTGGGGAGTTGTAATTCGACGAAATCCATAATATAAATCAAAAAGTAGCTATCACCTTTTGAATTTCAACGATGATGTTTGTTTGTGACTATGGTTACGTCCTTTTGCATTTCAGGTGACAATATGTACATGCGTAAGCATAATATAATAGAACTACATATATTTAAATAACTAAAACACGTTTTTATTGCAATGTGAACTAAAAGTTAACATTATCATTTTCGTTGTTGGTGTTTGCGACAGAGTAACCGACACCGAAACCGGTTTGTCTCCAAACCAAATTTGACAAGGAATGACGGAAAATCGTTCCACATTCCATCATAAAAATTAAGAAATAAGTTTATATATGTATAATGATTTTGTCGGCCGCTATGGTGTAGTGGGAAGCAGCGCGCGCTTCCACTTCGAAACGCCTGGGTTCAAGCCCTGGTCAAAGCAACATCGAAAAACAATATAGAAAAAAAATAGCGGTCGTCCTTCAACAGACAATGGTAAACCTCCGAGTGTATTTCTGCCATGAAAAACAGCTTGTCATAAAAATACAATCGCCGTTCGGAGTCGGCGTAAAACTGTAGGTCCCTTCTCTTTGTGTGACAACATCAAGGCGCACGCCACAAATCGGAGGAGAAGCTCGGTCAAGCATTAACATATGTATAAGCGCCAATCTATTATTATCATAATGATTTCGTGTAAGAAGAATAGAAAGTTTCCTAACTTCATCCAATCCAATTTTACATACTTTTTAAATAAGCTTAAAATAGGATGAAAGTGATTAAAATTAAATATTCAGTACGAAAGCAAAACGTAGATTGCTTGATACCAACTTGTCCTTTTTATCGCTAGCGGATTTATCTACTTATTTCTACTATATATAAGCCATTATTTTTTAAGTCGGACGGATTACATAAAAAAATTGATATCGTGTCTCCGATTCGCTTAAAATTTTTATGGGTTCTATACATGAAATCAGCTAATATGACGGGATTAACGTTTCAATCAAAGAATCGATATTGCGGAACAAATGTTGTTAACGGAGGGATGTTCTGCCGAAATCCGAAACAACATCTGCATTTTGCTAACTTTAGTCCTACAATTGCCACGCCCGTTTATAGAGGTTTGTCGCCTTAAAGAAAATGCTTGCCATACAAATATTATTAGATACTGGATAGGAATTCTAAATTTAAATTTTTGCAAAAACCCTATTTTTAAAACCTTGAAAAATTGTTGAATCTCACAAAATAAACCACCCCGTCGCACAGTGCTTCCCTTCCATATAAAATGTGGGCAAAAATAGAATTATGGACGGATTTAAATAAAAATTTGCTTCTTACTAAAATTAAGGACGCTAATTTCAAAAATGCAATTTGTTTTTGGATAGCTTTTCTACTTTAAGTGTAAATGCAGTTTGAAATTGAAAATTTGGGTTTTTGTGGCTTTTACATAGGTATGTACATATAGTTCGATCTATTTTCAAAAATGAGGTGTCAAATGACAGCGCTTGGCCTGTGAATGTGCAATAAAGATTTTTATTTTTGAAAAGGGTTGCCACCTGTTACAAATTTTATTAAAATTATTCAATAAGCCAAATGAATTAGATATTACAATATGCGTATCAATTGAACTAGTTTTGAAAATACTTTACTTCTAAACGACACGTAAAAGAGTTGCCACATTCTTAAAAAATCAAATTCACTTTAATTAAGGTAACAAGGTAACTGGAAAATGTGTAACTATATGAGTATCAGAAAAATTGAAAATTTTGACATATTTATAAAGAAATAAGTGAAGAGTAAAAACATTCCTGAGTTAATTTAAGAGTCCAGTAATTTAAAAGAAATGTAAGCAGAACAAATCACTGATTGACAAGGTATGTATTTGTAATAAAATAACAAATACGATGGCGTAGTCCTATGGTTTGACGTAATTAATATTTTAATTTAACTAATTTCGACTTTACAAACAGGTTGCAACCCCATTCGTAATATTTTTAAGCTAAAACCTTTTTAAACCTCTTTCGTTTGACTCCCTTATGGTGATACCTATCTATTTAAATTACCTAATTCCTTTAATTCAAGTGGAATTTAATTTTTTAAACAGGTGGCAATTCGCTACGGGTAGTTAATACACATTTCGATTGATACCCATCTCCTAACAATTAATTTGACTTATACAAAATTTTAATCAAATTTTTTAACAATCTAATTTTTGAACAGGTGGCAACTCTTTAAAAGAAAATAAACCTTCTATTGTCTACAGGTGAGGCTTTTTAATCTGACACTTCATTTTTGAAAATTGAACGAATCGTGAAGATCTCAAGGCACTGACAAAAAATGAAAAAATTATTTTATGCGNTTTTTGAGGTTAGAAGCAAATCCTGACGTGATGGAGCAAAACTGACTTCAGATTCGTGTTCACCGAATCCAAAGACAAATAAAACACCTGTTTTGTTGTTGAACGTTTCATCGAATTTTTTTGTGGGCCTGCGTAACTGATTAAACTTTGAATTCGTTCGCCTTGATAACTAGCTTAAACTTTTTACACTTACCGATTTATGTACACTTGCCGATTTATGAACGCATTACACAAGTGTAAAAGAACAGTCCGCTTCTATCGATAAGTAAGTATGCCAGCGGAAAAATAAATTATTTTCTTGAGCTATATTTCGAATACTCATAACTAGAGCTCGGATTTTTATGCAAATGGAATATGCAAAATGTATTAAAAAATTTTAAAAATTACATAGTTACATATGCTAGAAACAGATTTTTTATGCAACAATTTAAATAACACCTACGAAACAAGACCGAAGTCATTTGGACTAGTGTCCATGTTATTAAGACTTCAGAGAAAATTAAACATGTTTTGTTAAAAGCATATCTTCAAATTTATTAACAACTTGTATCTAGGTTAACTCTTTAAAATACTTTAGTGGTATTTATCTGTGGGAATTCATTCCCAATTACGGCCACAACCGTTGCCAAATTCTCAAACTTCATAGACCAGGAGCGCATCCTGGAGCAGAGTAGGGAGAACACCCCAATCCTCTCTTCTTTAGAGTCGGAAGAGGACCAACTACCCTCCAATGACGGAGTTGGTCCTCTTTCCACAGCACAGAAGAGTAAGTATTGGGGGCGAAACGCAAGCAGGGCTCTTCTGTGGCTGACCGAACTGCTCCTGCCGCTGCAATCAGTAAGCGGCCCAGGTCTACGGATGTTACTTCAGAAGCCAGTGGAATTTGATGGATGTACCGACATCCAAATTTTCTTGTGAACGTTGTAAGAGAAGGTAACCTGTAGTGACAGACACCAATGGCTGTCCCAATGCCTCTTCGAGTCATAGTGTGGCACGGTACTGGTATGGCATTGCCCAATTCCAATCATCCAGACAGACCTCTGGCGCCACGAAACGCTTTCCTCAAACCATNGATTTTTTATGCAACAATTTAAATAACACCTACGAAACAAGACCGAAGTCATTTGGACTAGTGTCCATGTTATTAAGACTTCAGAGAAAATTAAACATGTTTTGTTAAAAGCATATCTTCAAATTTATTAACAACTTGTATCTAGGTTAACTCTTTAAAATACTTTAGTAATATTTATCTGTGGGAATTCATTCCCAATTACGGCCACAACCGTTGCCAAATTCTCAAACTTCATAGACCAGGAGCGCATCCTGGAGCAGAGTAGGGAGAACACCCCAATCCTCTCTTCTTTAGAGTCGGAAGAGGACC